ATACAGAGACAAAAACTAACAGCTAAACTGTAAAAAGGGAGCCAGAGAGCGTGCATGAGAAAGCTAAGAAGCAAGTTGGTTTGTTGCCCTGGGCTCCATTTGAAATCCCAACATAGGATTAAATGTACAGATGTCCCAGCTTACATCTGTCAGCACATGAAATACAAGCACAGTTTCAAATGGTACCAAAATTAATCCATTTCACAGCAATCGTTTCTATAAGCTCAGTTGCACATATTGGGGTTGTCACTGTCACAAATTCACAATGACAGAGTAAAATAGCAGGTGAATTCTGGCCTGGGAAAGTGGCATCAGTGAGGCAAGACAGGTGGGGAGGCAAAAGCAGCTGGAGGGCTGGTCCCAGTCCTAGATATCATTCTTAATGCTCGCTGGGAGCTGGAGAAGGGCAGGCACGTTCAGCGGTCAGATAGCAGTACAGTGAAACAACTGTTGAGGCATTGAGCTGAGGGGGTGTGCTGTTTGGAGATCTTTGTCACAGAAATTCTTGGTTGAGAGAAATTCGCCTCATACAGCCTGGGAAAGGAGAAGCTCCAAGTTTGAAGACTTGGGGGTGAATGAGAGCAGGCAGTCTGCTAGTGCAACATCTGCTTTACAGAACACTTAGGAAAACGTGTACTTGTGTTGGAATTGCAGTCAAACAGGATAAATACAGACACAGAATGAAAGGCTGCAATATCTAACATTCCCACAATGGAGAGAGAACAAGGGATCACGCTGCACAGAAAGAGCCTTACACACAAGAACTGCTAAACTCCAAGCTGAAGGCACAATGAAGGGATCCTTGATACCTCGAGCTTTTCCTTTGAAAAAGGTACCAATTTTAAACCGAATTCCTTTCACAAAGAAGCCCCTGAAGACTAACTGAAGGAAAGACACTTTCAAATATTTTTATGTAGCAAGAATAGCAGTTACTGTGAATTATCTCCAATTTGGATTTCCTCTAAGTTCTGAATTAGTGGGCTCAAATTAATGGGCTTTTACTGTAGTTGGAAGCAGGCTGATTACAGCAGTCTAAAATTAGCTAATTATACTGATTAGTATTAAGAGACTTTGGTGGGGAAGATGTGACTGATTCAGAATTGGTGGCGCCTGGGAATGGAGCTTCAGCACTTCACAAGCGAAAAGCAGCCCAGCCTGGAAGCAGCTCAAGCTTGACTGTGAGCAAACACATAATCAGGGCACACACACTATTCTGAAAAGACACAGGCCTGGGGACTCACAGCCTTTCTCTGCCATTTTGCTCTCACTTGAATTAAAAGACAATCTAGTAGCAATGCTGGGTTTTTTCTTGGTTTTCTAATGGGATGCCATTTGGTTGTCATAAGATCCATCAACTCTGGCTGGGATCTGGGGAGTCACCATCCACTGGGAGAGGGGAAGCATCTGGCTCTAACTGCTTAAACAGAAAACACTGCTGTCCCTAATCCCTAATGCTTTGACTACCAAAAAGACAATGTCCAAACAATTGGGCAGATGCTTATTTGCTGGAGCACCCTAAGGAATTCACACTAATGGCAGTGGGGTTGGCAACTAGCAGAGGAGGCCTCAGTTTCCCAGGTCCAACTGCTCAGGATCATACCTCTGTGATCAGCCAGGGCGCAACACAGCTGTGCAGGGGTATGCACATGCCAGGCACCTGTGCGCCCACTCTTTTGTGCTTTCGTTTTGAAAACCCGAAGTGATGGGCAGTCTGGGAGGGGACTGACAGGGTTGCCATTCTTATGTAAAAAGTCTTAAAAAGGTTTAGGTTGAAAACAAGTGACAATAATATTTTAAGGAAAAATTTAAAGCCTTTTCATTTTTTAGTGAAAAATATCTAAGTAACTAACCCCACCATTCTGAAAGTCAAAATCACACACACACACACACACACACACACACACTCTCTCTCTCTCTCTCTCTGTGTGTGTCTCTCTCACACACACACTCATTCTCTTTCTCTCTGTCACACACACTCTCTCTCTCACACATACTCATTCTCCCCACACACACTCATTCTCTCTCTCCCTCTTTCTGTCTCTCTGTGTCTCTGTCTCTGTCTCTGTCTCTCTGTCTCTCTCTGTCTCTCTCTGTCTCTCTGTCTCTCTCTCTCTCTCTCTCTCTCTCTCTGGAGTTCTCAGATTTCCTTCAACTGCTGACACCTATAGAATAGGCATGTGAGTGGGAGGGGGCCCCACAGAGTACAGGTCCTACAAGATGAAGACAGTCTTCCCTTCAGAGAAGATCCTTCCTGGAACAAATAGAACCACATACCAGCTATCATTTCATAAAAACAATGAGAAAAGACAACATGCCCACATGTACACATACACACGTACACACACATACACAGTCTCAAACAAACAAAAATGTGGCTACTTGTTAGCATTATATCAAATCAATGTCTATACAAAGACAGAGTTTGAAAAGATATGTACAGGGCATTCGTAAAAGCCAAGTGTGCACCTTGAGGGAATATGCCCATTAAATATACTAAACACTATGCTGTGAAAAACCACTGCAGAGGCCTCGGCACAAGTACCTGGAAGAGCTCTGTGAAGCACCTG